AATTTTAGGTAAATTTAACAAATTTAACGTATAATTTGGATTACTTGACAGTGAATTTTCATTATATCTTAACAAATTGAATTTAAGTATTCCAAATGGTTCAAAAAGTTGATATTTGGCTTATATAACCCTCCCTCGGACAATAAATTTGTATAGGTATAATTTTGATCTTTTTTTTCTGAAGTTCTAAAGCCAAATTCTGTAAGACCCATCTTTGAAATAATGTAACCGCCAAAATTCTCTAAACCATCGAATTCAACATTATTTAAATCGCAAATCTCATCTAAAAACTGCTCAGTTTCTTGATTTTCTGAAATCTGTAAAAATAATTAGATTTTACTATATAAACTTGGATCAATAGTAATTTGCCTCAAGTTGTTCCAAATCATCTATTGGTATTTCGTTTATTGAGCTGAAAATTTGTTGACTTAAAGTTACATCAAGATCTCCTGCCTGAAATTCTAAAATTCTGTCTTCACACTGTGAAGTTCACAGTTCGCAGTTCGGGAAATGCAGCTCATATTTATTCTCTAATTCATTTTACAAATTAGTTTTCAAAGGTTTTAATATAAATGTGATTTTATTCAAAAGAATAATTTTTATAATATTTTCTAACTGAATTGAAATTATTTTTATAAATTTTTTACATAAACTTCAAAGCATATATAAAAATTTCATTATAAAATGGGAAAAATTAAACTGTATATGGTATCACTAATTTAACGAAAACTTCAAAATCCTTAAGCATGTCAGATAGAGAATTTAAAAAAATAATGAGAGATTGACACTACCTTCTATATTTCTGCTATGGTCTAGTCTATAGTCTAGTCTATAATCTTGTCTATAGTCTAGTCTATAGTCTAATCTCTATCCGAAATTGCAAATTAACCACTGCTGTACAAAATTATTTTTATAAATAAGAAATTAATACATTTGACAGCTCTGTTCTAAAGTACAGCATTTAAGCTGCCATATTTTAAAACAATTGGCAATAAGTAACTGCTCGTGCTGCCATATCTTTGCCAATTGGCAAAGTTTATAGAAACAATACAAAAATGTAAAAGGTAACTTGTTGAAAAATAGGATTTTTTTTCGGAAAATCAAGTTAATTTAAACTATAGTTTTTCTATTAAACAATAGTACCTATTACAGAAATTGAAAATTGTTTTCCCACATTTACCTTGAATAACGTCATATTATTGCAAATCTGATCTAACTGCCTGCGATTTTTTTTCTTCGTAAAAATGATTCAATACATTGATACTTGAATTCAATGTAAGTAAAAAAAAAGAAAACGAAATGCAAATTTGTGTTTATTACAAAATAATTTACATTCAAAAGAATTTTACTATGAACACTTTGGTGTATGCAAAACATTTGAAAGATTTATTTCATTTTACCATTCGCACATACATTACGACGATGGTAAATTGCCAAAGAAAATAAATTAAAAAAAAAACTAAGAAATAATTTATTTGATGCAAAAAAAAGGAAAGAAAATCTTGTTCTCAAAACAATAACTAGAAAATTTCGCTTTGCCTGCTTCCTGAAGGCGTCATGATATATGTATGTAAATATGTACCATATAATCCACCATTATTGTCTGAATTATTTTTGTGATCGTGGCGTTAATTAGGAAAATCGTTAGACAAAACCCCCTACGAAGACATGCAAGAAAAAATAATATGTATGTAAATGTTTTTATTCATCTTTTGTATAATCAACCAACCCAAAAATATGAAAAAATTAACAACATCTGTTGTATTAGACTAAAAAAACAACAAATTACATTAATTTTTAATGCCAACAAATTAATTAGCCACAAACAATTATTGTAATTTTTCTGGGTGTATTTTAAGAAATTTATTATTAAAAAAAATTTAAAACTATTTTTAAAAAGAAATGTGCAAAATTTAGCGATTTTTGTATAAAAAATGCACAAAATTTTAGTGACTTTTCGGTTAATTTTTGGAACAGTTACAGATTCTTGAAAATTAAGTATTCTAAAAGTGAAAAGGCGTCATTTGACCAGGATGCTCGAATTAAACAAACTTAGGCTGTATATCTTCATTTTAAAGCTATTTCGACTACTCTTCTAGGATTTCAAAACAACCAGTTTTTCCCCCATTCTTCCTTGAAAAGATACTCTTATTTTAATTTTTCAACGGTAACTTTCTTTACTGGCATCCCTTTTCTCCTCATATGGCAATATTGTTATTTTGTTTACAACTTCCTAAACAAGACTGTCAAATTGCAAACACATATTGTAGCTAATAAAGTGCTTTTTTCATCTAAGTTCACAACACTTTCAACATTGTACTATTTATTTCTAAATTAGCCAAATGCATATAAATCATTATTAAACATTTTTGTCGTAACATAAATTTTCTCAAGAAACAACAACAAAAACGAGGGAAAGAAAAATCATTTGTTTGAAAATTTGGTTGTTGTTGTTGTAAATTAGTGTGATTTAACATTGATTTAGGGAATATTTTACTACACACAAATACATACTCTCATTCTAAATGTCTCATTTTCTTGACAATTAATTACAATAACAACACATGCATATACATATTTACACACGTTTAGCGCAAAAAAAAAAAACAAGCAAACAAAACAAAAATAAACCCACTAAAAGGTATCAACAATTACAAAAATAATAAAAAATGAATAAAATAAAATAGTCTTGATGTCGTCTGCAGTAGTGTAATGTTTTTCTATTATTTTAGTTTTTTTTTTTTTTTATTTTTTTCTCAACTAGAGACTCTAGTCTTTATTTATTTCAGTTTTTTTTTCTTTCTCTATTGTTGTAGATTTATTAGTGCTGTGAAATAAACAATTATTTTAAATTATAAATTGTTTTTTTTTTCTTTTTGTTGAGTTCAGTTGATCTATTGTGATAAAATTTGTTCTAAATGCATTTTTATTTAACAAACGTATTTAATGTGTTAAAACGCGTTTATTAAAACGCTCAAGAGAGGTCGTTCATTTTTGTTTTTTTTTTTTAACGCCCGCGCGCTGTTTTTAAACTTTATTTAACCCGCTTTAACGTCCGCATGTTACAACTTCATTTCTATTCTAATCATGCCGGTCGTTTGGTTCTTCGTCCTGGTCAAAAATCGAATCCAGATATTGAAATATATCCGTTAGAGAGTATTAAAGAATTCGAACATGTTTCCCAGGCCTGGAAACGTTGTTTGGCGGAAATTTTAAAGAAAAGTGTACAAAATAGTAAGTTTTTAAAAATCTTAGCCAAATTTTTCGTTTTTTCATTCATATTGTAGCATTAATGTTTTCTTTAACACTTCTCAGCAACGTTGCCAGATGATATTAATTCAAAATCATTAGTTTTAATATATTTAAATAGTGTGAAAAAGAAATAAAATATATTTTATTGGATTTTTTGTCTGAAGTATGGAGCAGACTACAGTCTTAACTGTACTATAGTACTAAATAGAGTAGATTATAGAGAGGACTACAGAGTAGACTATAGTGTGAACTATAGAGTAGACTATAGTATGGACTATTGAGCAGGCTATAGTCTGAACTATGGAGATGACTATGGCATTCATACTATAGAGTAGACTGCAGTCTATAGTTAGTAGTCTGGACTATAGAAATGGAATATTGAATAGGCTATAGTCTGGAATATAGTCTGAACTATAGAATAGACTATAGTATGAGCTTTTCTGGACTATAGAATAGACTATAATCTGGACTATGGAATATGCTATTGTCAGGACTATACAATAAACTATTGTCTGGACTGTGAAGTATGCAATAGTTTGGACTATCGAATAGACTGTATAATAGACTATAATCTGGGCTATTAAATATGCTATGGGCTATTAAATAGACTATATTTTAGGCTATGGAGTAGGCTATAGTGTGGCCTATATAGTAACCTATATTGTAGACTACAGTCTTAGTAGTCTATGTACTATTGCGTAGATTATAGTCTGGACTATAGAATAAACTATAAATGGAATATTGAATAGCCTATAATCTGGAATATAATCTGAACTATAGAATAGACTATAGTATGAGCTTTAAAGTAGACTATATTCTGGGCTATAGAATAGACTATAATCTGGACTATGGAATATGATATTGTCAGGACTATAGAATAAACTATTGTCTGGACTGTGGAGTATGCAATAGTCTGGACTTTCGAATAGACTGTATAATAGACTATATTTTGGGCTATGGTGTAGGCTATAGTGTGGACGATGTAGTAACCTATATTCTAGATTACAGACTGTTCTATAGATTATACTGTAGTCTGGTCTATAACTTTGACTATTGTTTGGACTAGACTACTCTATAGTTTGCTGTATAGAGTAGTCTATAGTCCGGACTATAGAGTAGTCTATAGTCCGGACTATAGAGTAGTCTATAGTCCGGACTATAGAGTAGTCTATAGTCTGGACTATAGAGAAGTCTATAGTCTAGACTATGGTATAGCCTATAGTCCAGACTATAGAGTAGCCTAGAATCTGTACTATAGAGTAGTCTATAGTCTGGACTATAGAGTAGTCTAAAGTCTGGACTATAGAGTAGTGTGGACTATAGAGTAGTCTATAGTGTGGACTATAGAGTATTCTATAGTCTGGATTGTAGAGTAGTCTATAGTCTGAAATATAGAGTAGTCTATAGTGTGGGCTATAGGGTAGTCAATATTGTCGACTATAGAGTAGTCTATAGTGTGGACTATAGAGTATTCTATTGTCTGGATTGTAGAGTAATCTATAGTCTGGATTGTAGAGTAGTCGATAGCCTGGATTGTAGAGTAGTTAAAATGGATATTTTTTTTAATAAAATATTATACTTTTTTATTATTTTTCTTTACAAACAAGTGAATAATATAGAACCAAGATCTATATCTACAAATAGTAACTAATTTTATAAAATTCTAAAGTGTCAAAAATTATTTAAATCTAAAATTTATAGAATGTGTTCTCTTACTAATTTATATTTTTATAATTATCTTATTACAGAAGAAGATGATTCTCAGATATTTGTAAAATTTTTCCGTTTCCACAAATGTTACGATCTAATACCAACCTCAGCCAAATTGGTTGTCTTCGATACACAATTATTGGTTAAGAAAGCATTCTATGCTTTAGTATATAATGGTGTACGTGCCGCCCCCCTATGGGATTCACAGAAACAACAATTTGTTGGAATGTTAACCATAACAGATTTTATAAAAATTTTAAGAATGTATTATAAATCACCGAATGCCTCAATAGAACAATTGGAAGAGCACAAATTAGATACATGGAGAAGTAAGTGGTGGAAAAAAAAGAAAATATAATTTTTTTTATTCTAAGTAAATTTTTGTTTTTTCTAGGTGTTTTACATAATGAAGTTATGCCATTAGTTAGTATCGGTCCCGATGCTTCGCTATATGATGCCATTAAGATACTCGTACACAATCGTATACATCGATTACCTGTTATAGATCCCGCTACGGGCAATGTATTATATATATTAACCCATAAACGTATATTAAGGTTCCTGTTTTTATATGTAAGTAGTAATGTTTTTAAGGAAGGTTTAAAGGTTATTAATTTATTGTGTTTGTTTTCTTTTTAGATTAATGAATTGCCTAAACCTTCTTATATGCAAAAGTCATTGCGTGCTTTAAAAATTGGCACCTATGATAATATCGAAGTGGCCGATGAACATACAAGCATTATAACAGCTTTAAAGAAATTCGTTGAGCGAAGAGTATCCGCCTTACCGTTAGTTGATTCCGAAGGACGTTTAGTTGATATCTATGCTAAATTTGATGTTATTGTAAGTATTATGAAAGAATTAAAAAAATATTTAATTTTAACTTATTAAACTATTTAAAAACTACTTAGTCTAGTCTATTCATAAGTCTTGTTTAAAGTCTAGTCTAGTCTATAGTCTAGTCTATAGTCTAGTCTATAGTCTAGTCTATAGTCTAGTCTATAGTCTAGTCTATAGTCTAGTCTATAGTCTAGTCTATAGTCTAGTCTATAGTCTAGTCTATAGTCTTGTCTATAGTCTTGTCTATAGTCTAGTCTATTATCTAGTCTATTATCTAGTCTATAGTCTAGTCTATAGTCTAGTCTATAGTCTAGTCTATAGTCTAGTCTATAGTCTAGTCTATAGTCTAGTCTATAGTCTAGTCTATAGTCTAGTCTATAGTCTTGTCTATAGTCTTGTCTATAGTCTAGTCTATTATCTAGTCTATAGTCTAGTCTATAGTCTAGTCTATAGTAGTCTAGTCTATAGTCTAGTCTATGGTCTAGTCTATAGTCTAATCTATGGTCTAGTCTATAGTCTAGTCTATAGTCTAGTCTATAGTCTAGTCTATAGTCTAGTCTATAGTCTAGTCTATAGTCTAGTCTATAGTCTAGTCTATAGTCTAGTCTATAGTCTAGTCTATAGTCTAGTCTATAGTCTAGTCTATAGTCTAGTCTATAGTCTAGTCTATAGTCTAGTCTATAGTCTAGTCTATAGTCTAGTCTATAGTCCAGTCTATAGTCTAGTCTATAGTCTAGTCTATAGTCTAGTCTATAGTCTAGTCTATAGTCTAGTCTATAGTCTAGTCTATAGTCTAGTCTATAGTCTAGTCTATAGTTTAGTCTATAGTCTAGTCTAAGTCTAGTCTATAGTCTAGTCTATAGTCGAGTCTATAGTCTAGTCTATAGTCTAGTCTATAGTCTAGTCTATAGTCTAATCTATAGTCTAGTCTATAGTCTAGTCTATAGTCTAGTCTATAGTCTAGTCTATAGTCTAGTCTATAGTCTAGCCTATAGTCTAGTCTATAGTCTAGTCTATTGTCTAGTCTATAGTCTAGTCTATAGTCTTGTCTATTATCTAGTCTATAGTCTAGTATATAGTCTAGTCTATAGTCTAGTCTATAGTCTAGTCTATAGTCTAGTCTATAGTCTAGTCTATAGTCTAGTCTATAGTCTTGTCTATAGTCTTGTCTATAGTCTAGTCTATTATCTGGTCTATAGTCTAGTCTATAGTCTTGTCTGTAGTCTTGTCTATAGTCTAGTCTATTATCTGGTCTATAGTCTAGTCTATAGTCTAGTCTATAGTCTAGTCTATAGTCTAGTCTATAGTCTAGTCTATAGTGTTGTCTATAGTCTAGTCTATAGTATAGTCTAGTCTATAGTCTATAGACTTGTCTATTGTCTAGTCTATAGTCTAGTCTATGGTCTAGTCTATGGTCTAGTCTATGGTCTGGTCTATAGTCTAGTCTATAGTCTAGTCTATAGTATAGTATATAGTCTAGTATATAGTCTAGTCTATAGTCTAGTCTATAGTCTAGTCTATAGTCTAGTCTATAGTAGTCTAGTCTATAGTCTAGTCTATAGTCTAGTCTATAGTCTAGTCTATAGTCTAGTCTATAGTCTAGTCTATAGTCTAGTCTATAGTCTAGCCTATAGTCTAGTCTATAGTCTAGTCTATAGTCTAGTCTATAGTCTAGTCTATAGTCTAGTCTATAGTCTAGTCTATAGTCTAGTCTATAGTCTAGTCTATAGTCTAGTCTATAGTCTAGTCTATAGTCTAGTCTATAGTCTAGTCTAAAGTCTAGTCTATAGTCTAGTCTCTAGTCTATAGTCTAGTCTATAGTCTAGTCTAGTCTAGTCTATAGTCTAGTCTATAGTCTAGTCTATAGTCTAGTCTATAGTCTTGTCTATAGTCTAGTCTATTATCTAGTCTATAGTCTAGTCTATAGTAGTCTAGTCTATAGTCTAGTCTATAGTCTAGTCTAGTCTAGTCTATAGTCTAGTCTATAGTCTAGTCTATAGTCTAGTCTATAGTCTAGTATATAGTCTAGTCTATAGTCTAGTCTATAGTCTAGTCTATAGTCTAGTCTATAGTCTAGTCTATAGTCTAGTCTATAGTCTAGTCTATAGTCTTGTCTATAGTCTTGTCTATAGTCTTGTCTATAGTCTAGTCTATAGTCTAGTCTATAGTCTAGTCTATAGTCTTGTCCATAGTCTAGTCTATAGTCTAGTCTATAGTCTAGTCTATAGTCTAGTCTATAGTCTAGTCTAGTCTGTTGTCTAGTCTATAGTCTAGTCTATAGTCTAGTCTATTATCTAGTCTACAGTCTAGTATATAGTCTTAAGATAAAGTCTAGTTTATAGTCTTGTCTATAGTCTAGTCTATAGTCTAGTCTATAGTCTAGTCTATGGTCTAGTCTATGGTCTGGTCTATAGTCTAGTCTATAGTCTAGTCTATTTTCTAGTCTATAGTATAGTGTATAGTCTAGCCTATAGTCTATAGTATAGTCAAAAGTCTAGTCTAGTTTATAGTATAGTCTAGTCTAAAGTCTAGTCTATATATTAGTTTATATTCTAGTCTATAGTGTAGACTATAGTCAAGTCTACAGTGTAGTATAAAGTCTTTATGCCATTTCCCTATTAACCTCAAATTCTTTAATTTCTCTCTTCTTCCAGAACCTGGCAGCCGAAAAAACCTACAACGATCTCGATGTTTCATTGCGCAAAGCCAACGAACATCGCAATGAATGGTTTGAGGGTGTGCAATGTTGTAATCTAGATGAGACCCTCTACACCATACTCGAACGTATTGTACGAGCAGAAGTCCATCGTCTAGTGGTGGTCGATGAGAATCGCAAAGTTATTGGTATTATATCTTTATCCGATATTTTACTATATCTAGTACTAAGGCCTAGTGGTGAAGGTGTTGGTGTTTCTGATATCTCGCTACGTGCATCAGATCCCATATTACAAAGGAAATTGTCAGATGATGAAGATGCCACTTCACTGGATAATAAATCACCTTCAGTGGGTTCGGGTAGTCGTAGTCTTATTGAAGATATACCCGAAGAAGAAGTGTATGGAGGTGGAGATAAAGTTTCAAAAGAGGAAGAAACTGATAAGGTAGATATGGCAAATACGGATAAAGTTAATAATAATCAGGAGCAGGAACAAGGCTCGGAAATAGTTGTAGAACAAGGTGTTAAAGTGACAAATGATAGCAGTGGCCTACAGGCAGAAATATCATTTGCCGATGAAGCCGAAGAGGATGCTAATAGTAATGAAGGGGCCGACAATGAACAGGAGAGTAGGCAGACTGCCGAAGAAGAAGAGGATGAGGATGCTAAGGATGTGATAAGCGGTAATTGTGATAATTTAAAAAAATCAAACTCAGATGATGCAACGGCGGAATTAACAACAACATCATCTGTTACCAGCGCTCTTAAGCAAACAACAGCTCGTGAAATGGCTCTTGTTAGTGAATAAACATTTTACTTTTGAAACAACAAACAAATAAAACATAATTATTTAATTATATAATAATTAATATTTAATATTTAAACTACACAAGTGTGAATATATGAAAGGATTGATGATAAATATTATTGTAAACTTAACTAAAATTATACAGTTATTTTCTTTAACTTTTTATTTAGTTTAAAATTTGAATTTCTGTTTTCTTAAAAGCAAAGAATTTATCATTGAAGGAAATTTAAAAGAAAATTCATTATTATAATTCATTTCAAAGCAGTAGGCAAAAAGATAATTAAAAAAGTTGTTTAAGAAAAATTAATTCATTTTTACAACAAATTTATTTAATTTTTATGCTTAAATAGCTACTAAAATAGTTTTTATATAAAGTAACAAAAAAAGGAAAACACGTAAAATATAAAAAGGTCTATTTTTACAGTTTATTTAACAGCAAAAAGCAAACACTTAATAATTATTGGTAAAAAAATACATTTTATTTAATTAAAAAAACTTATTTTTGTTGTTTTATCATTATGATTTAAAGCCAAATATGTTAAAATAGTTTTATGATTTGTTAAAATTTTTGTTTTGCTGGGGAAAAAAGAAGAAAAAAATCATTAAATGCTTTTAATTAGTAGAGGATTTTTCTTAAAATTTAAACAATTTAACAATTATAAAAAGTTTTTTCTCTTTTTTTTAAAAAAATACCAAAAGAAAACCATTTTAATTATTAAATTTTCATAAATTATATATTGCATTGCAAAAACACAAAAGTGAGAAAAGAAAAATACAACAAACAAAATTTATTATTATTATTATTATTAATATTATATTTATATTTTTAAGTGATATTTAACTTAAAGCTAAAAAACAGTAGTTTCTAAAAATTAACAACAACAACAACAACAAACTCCAAGAAGAAAAAAAAATGAAAAATAATATTAAAATATTTGAAAATAAACAGAAAAACAAAAATAATAAAAAAAAACATTGTTGAAACTTTAAAAATTAAATGGTGTTTTAATTAAGCATAAAACGCTTACGAAAAAGCTGTAATAACTTTAGCACAGCAACTAGAAACTTTAAATTTCACATCCTTATAGAGAATTAAATGGACTTTGAGGTAACAACAAAATAAAATTGTAAATTTATTTTATCTCTTGCGTTATAAGCATTTTTAAACTTCAACCCTTAATATCCTTAAGAGGGCGTGGCAGTGGGCGGAAAATGACCTTTCATTATAAAGCTTACATTTCAAGCTTTTGTATAAACCCAATATTGTAGAAATATTCCTTATATTTCAAAAGTTATAAGCAAAATTGTAAATTTAAGACTTGACCCTAATATTATGAATAAAACGTTTATGATCGATTCAAATAAACTTTAATAACTTCTAAAGCTCTGTAGCTATCAACTTGAAATTTCACATGCAGATAGAGAATAAAAATGGACTTTAAGATGGTTAGAAAAGAAACTTTAGAAATCTATAAGATTTTGTGGTACAAGCGTTTTTAAACTTTATGCAATAATTTCTATAAGTAGGCGTGGCAGTGGGCGGAAAAAATTATTATCATTAGAAAGCTTACATTTCAAGCTTTCATATGAGTTTAATTCTATTTAAATGTGCCAAATATTTAAAAAGTTATTAACAAAATTGTAAAATTTGTTTTAAGCAATTTGCTTGCTAGCAGATTCTGTTCACCTATTACTCAGTTGAAAATTGATCGTTCGTTCAACTTTTGCCATTTTGGAGAATTCAAACACTTTTACGTTTTACCTTATAACTTCTACATTTTTATCCAAATCTTATAAAAACTGTACAAGCAGCTAGTTGGCAATCTGTACTTTAAAATAACCATTTTATAAACTAGCCTACGGTTAAATGCTTGTCTCGTAAACGTTTTTAAGAAAAATCTTTAAAAATTGAAAGGTTGTGATGGTTTCTGGCGACAAATATTACATGTAGGAAATAGCTTGTATTCCATTCTATCCAATAAAGAAATTTTCTCTTAAATACTGCTAGGATTTTAAAAGTTATTCACAAAATCGTAAAACAGTTCTTGGACCTAATAAATTTGAAAATTCTATTTAAAAAGTGCCTAAAGCCCTTTTACAGGTTCTCACTTAATCGGGGCTCTACACGCTTTCATGTTTTCTAGGTTAATATTATAGAAAATTCAAAAAGTTCCTTTGAAGAACGAAAAATTACCAAAAAGTCCACTTTTATAGATTCTCAAGTGCTTAATTACATGTTTCTAAGTTTTAAGTCAAAAAAGTACCAGTCGAAGTACGATAAAGTACCAATAAGTCCCCTTTTATAGATTCTCATTTACTCCGGACTCTACTTGCTTAATTTCATGTTTCTAGGTGAAAGTTTATAGAAAACTCAAAAAGTACCTTTGTAGAACCAAAAAGTTCCGAAAAGTCCCTTAATTATTAATTTCATGTTTCGATTTCAATATCATAGAAAACTCAAAAAGTACCAATTGGAGAATGAAAAAGTACCAAAAAATATCACTTGGTACCGTTTAGCATATTTAGTGTTTCTTGAATAAAATCAAATTTCCCGTTTTTACCCCTTTTGTAGTTTTTTCCTCCCCATTAACGAAATACAAATTCTGTTCCAAAAAGTTTGCAACATCGTATTGGGAGCCCGTTATTATGTATTCATATGTATAAGTTAATAAACCAAAAACAAAATGTTTCATAAAAAAGTACCAAAAAATAGTTAAAATTTTCACCCCTTAAACGTCCGAATATCCAAAAAGTACTAAATTCATATTTTTATTTGTTCGTCAAGTTATGAAGGATTCAAAAATATGTTTTTTTAATGTTCTTTTGTTTAAAAGATACATGGGGTGCAAAGAAGTACCAAATTACAGTTTTTACCCGTTTTATTCCCCAAAGCGCCGAATTTGAAAAAATTACCGGACCCTGTCCGCTTTTTTTTAAATGAACGACGATAAGCTTTAACTGTTTTTGTAACTTTTCTAGTTTAGGAGGATTTGGAGGTTACCGAATTTACGTTTTTACCCTTTTTAACCCCCCAAAAAATTCGAATTTCCAAAAATCCCGTCTTATTGGATACATTTGGTGGGAGACTAACATCCTGCCCAAATTTCAGGCTGTGTAAAAAATGTGTGTAAAATGGCAGATCTTCTGCCATTTTACACACATTTTGAGAGATCAAATAAAGAATTTGCAAAAATTGCAGAATTTTTCCTTCAAACAGATTTTGTTTGATGTCCCATTTAAAATACATTGGTTTGACGACGTAGGAAACTCTGGTTTGTCAAACAGCAATGTATTTTTCGTATCTCCTGTT